AAAGATTATTAATTTAACCCTTTCAGAAGGGAAGATATGGTCATTTGTTCTGGGAATGTCATTTTCGAGACAGACCAGAAAAACCGGCTCAGGGCTAAACAGGTTAAAGACAGGAACGGGAGGAGAGAGACAGGCCTGTAGTTTATAACATCGGACGGGTTGAGAGTGGGTTTCTTTAGGAGAGGGTTTACTCTTGCCTCCTTGAGAGTGTTTGGAAAGTGACCAGAAGTTAGAGAAGTGTTGATTAAATGGGAGAGAAACGGTAGAATATCAGGAGCGATAGTCTGAAGGAGGTAATGTAATATCTATAGATAGATGGACAGATAGATAGATAGGTAGACAGGTACTTTATTGATCCCAATTTGGGACATGTTTGCGTTGCAGCAGCATATATAAAAAAAGGCACAATAAATAAACAGTCCAAAATATGTCTGAAATAGAAATAAAATAGAAATAATATATTTATATATATATATATATATATATTGGTGGATGTGGAAAATATACATGTGGGAATACAAATTTCCAGTAACAGATATAATGCAGGATATTATTGTGCAAGAAATGGATTATTCAATATTGAATTGAATATAAAAGTGTACCATGGGAGTTTAAATCCGGTTAATAAGAGAAGCTATGGAGCAGAGATTTCTCTGCCAGCCAGAGGTGATTTGTTATAGAGAGTTATTGCAGTGGGCAGGAATGTTTTTTTTTCCATCTATCCTGTAACTTGTGGAATAGGTATTGTGGCAATGAATATATAAAGCGTAGTTTACCTAGCAAATAACACTTTTGTGGTAAATGCATGTAAAATTAATATGATTATTATTTTAGATTAAACATTTTGAACTCTGTTATGATGTGGCAAAAGGGTACGTCAATTAAGCTTCAGCCAATGGTTGCACAATTCATAAAAATTGAATCAAAAGTGCAGTATGGGTTGGTCCAACATACAAATTGCAGAAAGCACAATATTAGAAAACTATGTGGAAATATAATTCTGAATCAAGGATTATGGCGCTGCTTATATGTCCCGGTCTATAAATCGTTCACTACGGACTTAATACAATATTTTTATTTTTAAAAAATGATATTGCTATTGCAATTCCAGTCAAAATAATTTGGAATAGTTATTTTATCCCAAATCATGCCGCCCTAATATTTTTTAGTTTTTCTTTAAGATGAATGCTTTTTTTAAACTTGTTTTTATGTGCATCCTTTTGGGGGAAATTCCAAAATGGAACATTACGAATTATAATTACTAGAACTACTTGGGACCCAGCTAAAAAAATCTAAATCTCATTGTGTTATGTGTTCTCTGTGCTGTTTAGACAACTGGAGAAGAAGACCGGTTGCCAATGGTGGATGTGAAGGAAGAAGAAGTGAATAACCACTCCAATTCTTCTTTTCATTGGAGTGATTCCCTTTATGGTAAATTAATATTGTGCTCACCTAGGTCCATTGTTTACTTTGCATATTAATAGGATAGTTCCCCCCACAATCAGAAATCTATATTTTCCCTCTTAATCTGTTGGGCTATTTATTAATCTAGATTGTTTTGGTGTGAATTGACAGATGTTCAACTATACCAACAGACTATACCTGCTAAACATGTGTCTAACACAGAAGAAAACAAGCACTACTCACTGATTAGAGGCTTGTGCACATGATTTCTGGGAATAAACATGACTGTTGTTTTTTTAAATGATTTTCTTTTTGCCGCTATAAGCACCATAATAGTGCTCTTTAACTCACACAGAAACAAAATAAACACAGGAGTAGGAGTAGCAGCTTGGAAGCCAACCAAATTCACACAAACTAACTAGCTAATTAGATGGCTGTAGACCAGGGACATCTATTGTGCAAGGTAAAATTACTGTTTTTGTGATAGACCGGGTTGCTGGATGGCAAAGTTAAGCTGTGAAATATTTGTAATAACGCATAAACCTAAATCAATATTATAATTTTTTTATTTTAAGCTGGCTTGAATCAAACTATACAACTCAACCTAAAATATCCCAAATAATGGTTTAATATATCCCTTTTTTTGTAGGTGAAGAAGGACCTCAATCACACAGCTCTACTGAGAAGGCACAACCAAAACACACTCAAGAAAACACTGAGGAATTATTTAGGAATGTTATTAAGCAAGACTCACAAATCTCTTTTTCAGCATTAGAGGAAGAAGCTCACGTGGCTACGGACCCATCTTTAGAGTTGGACGATGGTTGGGCGGTCATAACACCTGAACTGATGCCGAATCACAGACTTTCAACAGAAATTGACTGTGATTTGTCTAAAATTAGTAGTCCCACTGTTACTGTGGATGTTGTGGTTACCCCAGAAAGAGTTCACATGTTATCCTCACGGTCCCCAAAGGCAGCACTGCAAAACAGTGATGCCAAATGTGTGACCATCAAGCAAGAGGTTGTTGATTCCGACGGCTATGTGGAAAGTGAGCCTAAAGGAAAGAAAAAGTCTAGGATGACGTCTTTCTCGTGTTTAGTAAAACGGCACAGAGTGAGCTTGGAAGCACTCAGGCAGAACCACATTTCCCACAAAGGCACAGGTCTCAAAATGCATGGCGCCCTACAGCACTTCCACAGACCCACGAAAAAGCCGGCTCACGCCAACAACTATGGCTCCGCCCAGTCTGTAGCTCAAGTTGGAAACCCCCTCAACAGAACTCCCTCTACGTCTAAATCTGCTCCGTCTCCATTTCCACAACTGTCATTGCAGAGAGGTCAACAGGCACAAAACCGAACCGCTGCCCCATGGGTCAGCGTCAAAACAGATCCTTCGGAAAACTTCCTTCAAGCAAACCCTTTACCCCACCCAGACTCCGGACCGAGGCACCTCCTGCGCTGCGGTCAGTGCGGGAGGTGCTTCCCCCACCCCAGCAACCTGAAGGCCCACCTACAGACGCACACGGGGGAGCGGCCTTTCTGCTGCGCCCTGTGTGGACGCAGCTTCACCAAGCTGAGCAACCTCAAGGCCCACCGGAGGGTCCACACCGGGGAGAGACCGTACTGCTGCATGGCCTGCGGGAAACGCTTCACGCAGAATTGTAACCTGAAACGCCACCAGAGGATCCACCTGGATGTATGATGGACAGGTGAAACTAAAACGGACATGATGTCGCGATGGGCAGCTGAAACCGTGTCAAGTTCTGGGCATTTTTTTCATTTGTGGTGAAACATTTGAAACCTAAGCACTAACAGTACATGATTTTCAAATCGGCTTTTTTTTAGGGATGCACCAATTTCATTTTTCCCAGCCGATGCCAATTCCAGGTTTTAGAGCAGGGGTAGTTAACCTTTTTCCTCTCAAGGGCCATTTCAATTTTTGCAACATCCTCCGAGGGCCGTACGAATGATTGACCTCTGGTTAAAAAACTAAAATCACAGCCCGTTCATTTCGCCTTTCTTTCATGCTGTGCAAAGAAAAAGCAACGTCGTAATCCAGATATCTTACCATGACTCGCGTATGCATGCACGTGCACGGTTGTGGCATGACCACCAAAACAGAAAGATATGGACTCAAGATATGTGCAAATGTATTTAGTTTCATATCCATGTGGACATGATTTAAGTGGTGGGGGACCTAACCTCCTCTAGGGGGGTCCGGGGGCATGCTCCCCTGGGAAGGTTTTTTTTTTTAAATGTTGAAGTTAAAAGCATCAATCTGGTGCACTTTGAGAGCAAAATTAAGAGATCTATGGATACATCTCTCAACATCCATATGGAACAGAACTGTAAGCAGATTTCTTTTTCTTTATGGATATTTTACAAATCACTCCCCTTTTAAACTGTATTCTTTTTTATTAATAACAACTTTTTTTTACTGTCATATAGTATTTTATATAGTCATTTACTTTATTCTCTTATTTTTTATAACTGTAATGCTCATATAAAGATGTGCCTTTACCTCACTGGTTGTAGAAAAAGCTTCTTATATTCGTTAGCATAGCTAGCTAACCAGATACTAATAACAACAAAGTTATGGATCAGTATGACAGATGAACAGATCGCCACAGGGTTTTCAACTAAAGACACAGCCACGCAAAAACTGCGGCATGTGTACGGCTCCTTATGGGTTCTGCAATTTATTTTTGAAGTGCCGGTGTAGGTAC